CTTTTAGTGAAAGGAATAAGAAAATAAAAATACCAGCAAGCTAATAGTTAATTTTTAATTTTCACTAGGTTTACAGTTCATGCCTTGACAAAGAACAGGCCGTGCCTTTTGTCAATACAAGTGTGGTTGCACCATCTAAACCGGCCAAAGGTATTTTTTTTTTAATTTGACAATATTGGCTGCATAACTGTGATAAAAATCTCAAGTGTAATGCTGCGWATTTTTATAAACTAAATTTTGTTTAAAGACTTTCTCAAGATGACRTCTGTGTCGCCACTGGAAAAGGAAGTGGTAATGTTTATTTTTTTTTGCTTGCTTGCTTGGCTTTCTTTTCAACCACAAGCTCTTTGTTCATTAAGTGTGCCAAGTAACTTCCCACCAATGTGAATATTCCCCAGAATAATTGCAATCCTGGCGAGCTTTATTCCAAGCTCTTTGACGAAGTAGAGAAGATAAAGTGCTGGAAAGTCAAAGCTGATGCTGACATAACCCAGAAAGAAAGAAAACTACAAGATAATATGAAAACCATTGAAACTCAGCGCCAAGCCATTCAGGAATTGCAAGTTAGAGACATTTGTTTATTTGACTTTTTATCTCTCACACATACTGCATACTGTAATAAAAATATATTTTCCAAGAGTATTGATAATTAGTATTTTATCGTTACAGTTTGGCAATGAAAGTCTTAGCATAAAGCTGGAAGAACAGATCAGTGAAAATGAGAATCTAAGGAACAAGTATGTCTGTAAAACCATAAAACTCATCAGCCAGATATAAAATACAAATACTGTGTTTCTGCAACTGTCTTTCTAACAATGAAACATTGTGCTTTACAAACAGAAGCAATGCAACAAGGAATTTGTGTAATATTCTCAAAGAAACCTTTCAGTGGTCCTCAGAGAAAATGAATTTATGTAAGTAAATATTTTTATATTTTCTATCAAGCCTAAAGTCAAAGAAAATTTAACACATTACTTTCTTATAGTTGAATCTGAAAGAGAAGAAACTCATCAACTCTTCATGAAAAATAGTGAGCATATTAAGGTAAAAAAGCTAATCCTAACTACTAAATTTACAGGATATGATAATAGCTTGTGTTTTTATCAAGAGTATTAATAAAACTTTTGGACTATCTCATAGGAACTAATTGCAGAGTTTGATGGCCTTCGGATTCGAGTGGAAGCTGAAAAACAAGAGATTCAAAAAGGTATAAAGATGTGTTCTTTAAAAGGTGTTTTACGATGTTAGGCTAGATTCAAGTGGAAGCTCTTATGAAAGATAATCATTAAATGTTTGTTTCAGTCAAAAAGGACTTGCTGGAGTTGGAAGCCCTTAAAGAAAAACACCAACAAGCACACATGATGAAAAATGAAGAGGTTAGTAATTTAAACTGTCACATTTTTAGAACTTTTAGGTCTTGAAACAAAAATAATTATGAATATCCCAATTAAGATATTTTTGTCTTTGTGATCCAAGTCATTTGAGCTTTGTAGCTTTAAGAGTTGAGTGTTTGGATTTAAAATGTGGTTTTGTCACTACTGCCTTGAAAAAAAAAACTCACATTGCAAGTGTTGAAAGTGGCTACTGAACTGCTCTCATGTTGTACATACATTACATCACGTTTTACAGCAGCTATTTGCGGCAACATTATCATAGCTGATGTAAAACCACAGACAGTAGATCAATGACAGAGATAAGGAGAAAGTGGGGTCAGCTACTTATCTACAAACCAGTAATATCTAGACAAGAATCCTAGTTCAGTGCTTGAAATTTGTTTGAGACATCTAATAGGAATTTGTGTTTTGTCCACAGATTGCAAAGCTTCAAACTAAGCTTCAGGACAAGAAAGATGAGCTACAAAAAGCCCTGTTTGACCTCAGTCAAACTCAGACAAACTGCAAACAACTTCAGGACTTAACAAGTGAGATTCTTACTATATTTCAACCTCAAACACATATAGATGTTTACAGTTTAGTTTCTCTTGTAACACTTAAATAAAACATGTAAGTTCTTTAGTGAACAACATTCATGTTTACTGCTTTATAGATCAGCAGTTAGAACTTCTCCAAAGCTTGAAAGCTGAAAAAGAATCCGTTCTTCAAAAACTGCACATTGCCAAGCAGCACTGCACAGAAACTGAGGTGAGGATGACAATACTTCTTGTTGATCTTAGTGAAATTGTAACTTTAAGTTTTGTCTGCTTTAATTAAAACATTTAACATGTCTCAACAAAAGAAAATAAACGAAACTACAGCTGCAGCCCTGGAACAGTATAAAAGAGAATGTGAGAAGATGATCCAAAGCAAAGATCTCAGCATTCAGGAGCTCAGCAGAGCAAAGATTCAGCTGACAGAGAAACTGGAGACGACTGAAGCAACACTTCAAGAGCTAAAGACTTCACATTCTCTGGAGAGAGAGAGGTAAAATTAATACATTTGCAGACTAAACCTATATTTTATTATGTGTAAATATTGTTTTTTTTTTTCTCTAAAGCACCAAGGATCTTAAAGATAAACTACTAACAAACAGTGACGAGCTTGATAAAAGAACTAAACTTTTAGGTAAGTTCCACTCTGTAAAGTATTATAATATTTTGATTTGGCACTCCTTAAAGTCAAAAATATTTCCCTCAACAGAAGAGATTAAGAAGCAGGCGGCATTGCAAAGTGATCAGATCAAAATCCTTGAAGACGAACTTGTAAGATACATTTAATATCCTTTATAAAAGTGTGTTCTTTATACACATACATACGCTAAAACCAAAGTCCACAGGTAAAGACTGAAGAAGGCTAAATGTTGATTTGTTCTTAGGACACCAGATCAAAAACTATTGAGTCTTTTAAGAGCCAGATTGATGTCTTTGAGAGCAGAGTCAAAGAACTTGTTGCTGAACTTTCACTGAAAACTGAAGAAACTGAGATGTTAAAGGTAATACAGATGTTTTTTTAATCAATATTATGGTTAAATGTGAGCAGTACTTAGTTTTAACTTGTTCTTTGTGGTCATCCAAGGTCAAAATGCAGGAGCTGGAAGGACAGTTTTCTGCTGAAACAAAGAAAAATAAAGAATGTACCTCTGAGATGGAGCAGCTACAGAAAGCTATCTTGCAGCATGAGTAACTTCAGTTAATCTATTAAAATGTACATATTACCATATTACTTTTTTGTATCTTACTGTACTTTTTTAATTTGTTGTCATATTTAAGAGACAGTTATGAAAAGCTGCTGACAAATTTTGGCAAGCTGCAGTCTGAGAAGACATCCTGTCAACAAGAGTTTGAAAGGGAAACACAAAAACTGGAAGCAGAAAAYCAATGTTTAAGGTTAGTTTTTTTAAGAAATTAAAAACTCAACAATAAACTTGACCCTAAGATATTACAAATTTATATTTCATTTTAATAGAAATGAATTAAACAGTATTAAAACCAGCATCCAAGGAGTATGTGAAGAAGCTGAAAATGTTCAGAGAAAAAATGAAGAAACTGTAAGTTATAGTATTAAGTAMCATAATAATAGATACAAACACAAGATTTTAAAAAGATGGAACATGCTAAGTGATCCTATTTTTGTTGCTGTCTGTGAACAGTGTAACGATCTGGAGGAGAAAATCACAGAGAAAGAGAAACAGATCAAAGCTGTTGAAGGAAAGGTGAAAGAAAAAAATGAAATAAAATTAAAAATGCTGACAACTACAATACTGCACCTCCTGTCAAACTAACATGAAATCGTTTGGATTTTAGCTTTGCAATCTGAGGAAGAAATTTGAGAATAAATTTCAAGTGCAAGAGGAGTACAAGAAAAAGGTGTTATTTTACAAAGATAGTGACAGATTTGACTAGTTTTATAATTCCATTACTGAGATGCTGTTAATCACTTAATTTTCAATTGTTTATTTTCAGAATAAATTGCTTRAAAAACAAATAGCAACGGAGACCACTAAATCCAGACATCTGGAAAAAATGGTAACGCGGTTTACTTTTTCGTGGACCTAGCAGTTTACATCAATTTATGTAAAACATTTAAGATAACGATTCTTAATCTGCATCCTATTTTAATTTAGATCAACAAGCTTCAAGAAGAGTCAGAGAATTTTAAGCAACTGAAAGAACAAGACTGTCAAAAACTGATCAGAGATCTTGATTCCAAGTCAACCTCAACAGCAGAACTTGAAAATGAGGTGAATTTCTTGATGCCACTCAATTTCTTGGACCTTCTATGCTGACAAATATAAAAACATGTTTTGTGTGACAGGTTCAAAGACTCAGATTAGCAGCAGCCGAAGCTGTGAAGAACAAGGAAGATGCAGAACTCAAGTGTCAGCACAAGATTGCTGAAATGGTTGCACTGATGGAAAAACATAAAGTGAGTTATTATAAAGTAGTTTTTTTCTGTTAAAAATAGTCTAATATTTATTCCTGAATACAAATGATTTATTTCTGTTTTCTTATTTCTTGCTAGAGCCAGTATGATCGTTTGGTTGAAGAGAAGGATGCAGAACTTAATCAAAATAAGAACAAAGAGATGGAAGCAGTTTCTCGTGCAAAATCACTGGTATGAGCCTAAAAACAATGACCAAATCTAAATAAATTCATGAAAATGTCATGATCTAGTATATTCATACTAAAATGTTTAATCCAGGAGGTGGACCTATCAAAACAGAAGACAGAAAACGAGCAGCTGATGAAACAATTGAAGACAGAGGCAACAGAGAAAGTGTGTTATGATTTAACCTGTTTATTTGTTTTTCCTATTATCTTTCAAAAATTTTGTATGGATCATTCAGTGTTTGTGAAACTTTACTTTTAGGAAACTCTACAAAAAGAAGTAGCAGATTTGAAGAGAGAAATTGCTGCTAAAATCAAACAATCATCAGAAACGAGGAACAAACAGGTAAAATCAGTAAACAACCTGACACAGCCTGGTCTCTCATTATCTGTTCTTAACTAAAAAGTTGTTTTGAACATTCTAGTCTCCTGTCTCAAACTATAAACTGGGACAATATCCAGAAACTCCTGAGAAGAGCTCCTTAAAGAATTACAAGTTCGACTTCAAGATCAGAAAAACTCCCAACAGCAGCAATGTTGGTTGTTCTTCAGATTTTAAGAAAGCTGTGAGTTTTATTTGTCTTATAAAACAAACTTGTTTCAGACAGTCTTAGTTGTTGACTTGGGTTTGAAATAAAATAAAATAAACGTTATTAACCAAATACAGTATAGACATTTTTTTAGATTCACAAAATTTCAAATAAACTATTGGCACAGCATATTAATTTTTGTTACACTTCAACAACATGGAAATTTAGAAAAAATAAATATATATATTTTGTTAATAGGAGAAGCAAAAGTTTTATTTTAATGTTTTTATTGACCCACTCTAGTTGGCATTAATGGATTTAATAAAACCTGATGAATTTACACATTATTTAACAAGCACCAAATTGTAGGTACCCAGTTCAGTAGGATGAGGGATAACAGTTGCAGGGAAAAATAAAGATGACTTATAATTTTCAAATTACAAATAAGGAAGTGTAAAATATGACAACAGTGGGCAAATATAATTTGAGCATGCTACTGTTGTTAATATGGCTGAGAAGCCCTAAAAAATTGTATTTTTATTTTTATTGTTCAGATGTCTGCCACGAGCATAACCACAACACCATGTAACATGACTCAAAAAACAAAGGTAGGGAGCTGTTCATCATTTTTGTAGTATTTAGGTTAATTGGGTATAATTGTTTTTTGCTAATTACCATATATTACAAAGTGATAATGTGCTTTTGTTGTCTGTCATTTTTATTAAATCAAACTTAAACATGTTTTTTTTTTCTTTATAGCACATTTTCAGTGGAGATATAAAAACCCTGGGAGGTGATACCAACAAGATCAGTGGGACATCAAAGATCAAAGTAATATTATACTGAATCATTTTGACATTTTTCACAATGAACAAATGCATTCATGCCTTTTCCTGACATTTACCCTGTGAATTCTCTCACAGTCCTACAGAATAAAGACTCCTCCTTCTACTGAAAAGGCAGGACGTTGGGGGAAGCAGGCCATTGATCTTGACCCAAAGTCTGACAGCTCTGATAATATCGATCTATTGGTGAGTGCTGCTTATAATTGCTGAGGATTATTTTGTCACACATTTCTCATAGGCCTGGTTGGTTTTCTTTCTTTAATTTATTGTTTAAGTAAAAATCCTTAAATTGATCATTTGACCATTTATTTTTGTTCTTATAGACATTTTCAGAAACACCAGCACCAACTCTGTCTGTTCCACAGCGCAAAATCTTCAAAAAGGTATTACAATCACAGTGTTCGTCCGATGCATACTAGATATAGAAGGCATTCACAATAAGAGGGAAGTTTTTTTTTGTTGTTGTTTTGTTTGTTTGTTTATTTATATATTTTGTTGTTTTTCAGATGCAAAGCCCAGTCACCCTTTTTTCACCTGGGAGCTCTTCAAAGATGGCTGCAATGAAACGAATGAGAGATGCTGGTTGGACTGCAGTGACAGGTCATGACAAGAAGAAGAAGAAAAACAAGGATAAGATATTTGCCTGAGTATTTCCATCACAGGTCACATAAAATGTGATAGCAATTTTAGGTAGTTGTAGGTGTCGTAAGTAATTAGCTTACATTAACCTACATTACAGTGAAAAGTCTTAATAAACATTTATGGTGTTGTCATAGTCAATCACACAGTTAGCAATAGGAGGGTTTGAAGTTCACATCACATGTTGTTTTGCTTATTATTCTTGATAGTAAAATTTAAATATGTATAGATACAATCTTTGAGCATTTCAGAATTTATATTACACTTTAAGCAAGTTTGATTTTCATTTTGCAGGTAGACTTAAGTGAAATTTGAGACTACATGATTGTTTTTGCAAAATGTTCACTTGTAGGTAGATGGTCAAGTATCTACCGATACATATTTTTTGAGGTTTTCAGAATTTTCTTCAGGTTTTTCACTTGCATAAGTACATTTTTTTCTGTCGTTAAGACTGGCATGTGTTAACATGAAAGCTAACTTAAATTTACATTTTGTATTGTTATTATACAAGCTATAGTTACAGTATGTTCAATCTTGATATATGTAAGTATCTTTGTATTGACAGTGTTAGAAGCAAAAACAAAAAAAAAAGTGTTTAAAGTATTATTCTAGTGTTACCAGACAATATTACTGTCTGTAATGTTTTCCTTTATTGCTTTTTGTTGATGTGATGAAATGAAATTGCAGTTTAGAAATTACTTGTAGATGTAAAAATTGAGTTTAATTTGTATGATCTAAGCATCAAAAATGGCAGTCAAATTTGTAGGAATAAAGATATCTGTTTATTGAAGAAACTCAAGGCGAAACTGAGATGGTTCTGAAGGAATTGGTGGTACATTATCATAAATCGGATGGCCATCATATAGTCCTCCAGAAATCACAAGTGTGTCATCRTCAGCCACAAATCCATCTGTTGAAAATTTAATATGTGTTTATCTACTGTTAGTAAATAAATACTTGGCATTTACCAAATAATGAGAATTCTTACCTGCTTCATTTGTGCTGTTGAGTGGTTGGTGCATGTATTGGAGTTTGTAACTGCATTTGCATAATAAGGTCATAACCAGAGCCAAAAGGAATACGCCAAGCACAACACTGAAGATTATTGTCATGATTTTTTCAGATTCATTAAGGTTTAAACCTAGCAGGACCAAATGTCACAAAGTTAAAATCATTGACAAACAGAAGCATAATGTGCTGAAGCTCTGCGAGAATATGGTCCCCGATGCTCACCTTGTGTGGTTCTGTTTACTGTATCCACAGTTGTAAGAGATGCATTTTCAGATGGACTTACTGACGTGTCAGGTGTGGTGTAGCTTGTGTGTGTTGTTGTGAACGTTGGAGTTTCAGTGCTTGGTGTTGTGCTTTTCAATGATGCACTGTCCGTTAAAGAAGTCAGTGTGGCTCCATCCGTTAAAGAAGTCAGTGTGGCTCCATCCGTTGAAGTCAGTGTGGATCCATCCGTTAAAGAAGTCAGTGTGGATCCATCCGTTAAAGAAGTCATTGTGGATGGAGAAATCTGAAAATGACTTGTGTTTTCAGTTGTAGCTGCTGTGCTGGTGAAGTTTTCTTTGACGGTTGTTATGCTGCTATACTGTGCTGTGTCTTCAGTAAAATCTGATGATGTAGTCATCGGGGTCACAGAGTTAGTTAAAGTTGATATTGTAGATCCTTGTTTCAGGGTTAGACTAGTGCTTTCTATGGCTTTGGTGGCTAAATTGTTTTCCATTTGTACCATGTCCAAAGAAAGCATCAGAAGGCAATAAACCAGGGAAGCCRAGACTTTTCCCATAGCTTTTAAATCCTGTATTTGAAAGGAAAACATGAACACTAAACACAATTGAATAAATGAAAAAAAAAAAAAAAACACACACTGGAAACTTTATGAAACCACTCATTTTCCCTCATCTTCAAAATATTCAATTTTAGTTGTAAAACACAATTTTCACCTGATTCTTGTCCCTTTGTAAGCCGAAATACATGATATTTCTAAAAKTTATATTGCATATTAAAGATTCAAATATTTTTATAGATATTTGCAAGACAATAAGCATTTAGACACTGATTGTGACTTAAAAATATACGTAACTACCCACCAGCTGTCTTAACGTGTACTTGAAGAAATGTCTTCTTACTCGCTCATTTCTAAGCATGATTTAGGCCAAAGCCTTACTTAAAATTGTCTTTAAAATAAGTTTATCTCACCTTGTCTGCGCTTCTTTTAAAAATGAGTGAAAATAGATGGTTGTTTTTGTTCCTTAGTTGAGTTTGACTTGACTTCCTGGAACGACTAACAGGCTGATTAACTGGCATGTAGTCGGGTAGATGTGGGTGGGGCAATTCTTTGTAAACTTCCTCTTTTCTTAGTTGCCAAGGAGACAGAGGACGTGATTACGTCTGGTCCAAAGCTCAATCTCTAACCTTCTACAAAGCCAAAGTACAATTTACACATATAAGAAAAACTGCGGCCAGAATCATGAACACATTTCACTTTCAAAGTGAAACTGTTTGAGTTTGTCATTTTGTGTGGGGTCTTTAAGTCATTGTGCTGCATTTAAATTTGGTACAAAATATTTATTGTCAAGTAATATGTATTTCCAGTTATTACAAACAGAGTGCACACTTTACATTTTACATATAGAAAATAAACATAGAGCCAGTGTTCTTTCAAAACATTCTCATTTTATAAATTGTAGAAATATGTGGCATTCAGTGGATTTTTCTACTTTAGTGTGAAATGAAGTTAGAATATAAAGATATCACTAAAAACAAACATAAAGTTGACACAACAGATAATTAGAGCAGCCACTGCTAGTTCTTGACATTTCCCAGGATTCACCACAAACGTTAAAGCTTCCTCAAATTTAAGATGTGTGCAACAAAYGCATTGCCCACATTTATGACATTAAGTTCAAAACACGTGATTATAAAGCAAACACAGAGAATTGAGTTTTTACAAAATTGAGTGCTTTTTATACAATACACGTTTAGTTACAACAGTGTTAAAGTTTTGTGGCTTTCTCAAATGCTTTGCTYGTCACATCCACGTCTATAAATGCTGAGTTGTCGACTCCCATGGGAAGGTCTGCTGAAGCCTTTTCTTTGCCGTCTGATCCCTGTGGTGGATTTACAGCAGTATCAGGTTCATATTGTTACCAAGTGACACATAGTTACTAATTATCCAACAAACTGCCCGGGTCAGCATCTTACCTCTGATTTACTGCAACAAGTGAAGCATATCAAATCACCCTTCCTGACAAACAGGTCAGGGTTCAGCTTTTCTTGCTTACATCCACCTATAAACCAGACACATATTCCCATTTGTTATTTATGACGCATTTATATTAAGTATTTATGTAACTGTACTAGTGATTTTTTTACACTGTAGGTAAGTTAATACAATTACCTGTGATCATGCTCAACAGTAAGGCAGATATCATAGTAGTCAGCATGCCGAACAAAGAAAAGTAGAGGTATGACAGAGAGTACCAGGTGTCTGCTAAAGGAGGCCTGACACTGACAGAAAAAAACATTTAATTAGTAATTATCCTGACAATATTTGACACATCTATGACTAAAACTCCTTTTAATGGTAGTTAAAATCAGCTTCATGTCTATACACTCAAAGTTTGGTCAGTAAAGACAAAAATTTAAAGTCATAACAGTGACCGTAGTCATAATTTAGTTCACAATCGTTTAAAACAAGATAAGACAAAACCTTTTTTTTCTGATATCAGTTAATCAGTTTTAAAAATAACTGGTGAGGCGTGCATTTTGATAAACTCAGCTGTCGTTTCAAAAATTTATTATTAAACTGAACTAAAGATAATTGTTAGCAAATCAAATAGTTTTCAAGTTAGGTGTGTACTTTGATGTAAGTAATTATTGAAAGACGAAATATTTTTGAGCTTGGTCATGGGAAGTTTTGTTGCACTTTAAACAAAAATATGTCATAGTATATGTCATAGTTTCAACCTTTGCAAYAGATGATTTTTCACCCCTAAAGCCATTGTAGAGTTTTCTCATGACAGCATGTCTCCTTACAATTTGTTATCCTAACATTCCTTTAAAAAGAAACATAATAACAGCACAAATATTTTTTTAATTAAATGAGATGGCTAACTCTGGCAGCTGTGTCAGAGGCACTGTACTGGTCCAGGGTGTTGCTGTTGTGTTCTGCTCCAATGTTTTGTTGCAGCCATCAGTGTTGACAGGCAGAGGATTTGTCTTCGCATCTGTTGGTGGGTAAAGCTGGCCCCCAATCCCCACCCACAGAGTCAACCCAAGGCCGATAATCATTCCTGAAAGTCCTCCCTGAAAGGTGAGCGTGACAGTAAATTCTTTCCTCTGTGAGTCAATGTGACTAAGCATAAAATGTTTAGTACATTAGTGTTTCTTAGCAGCATTTATTTGCATTGTTTAAAGTGCTTGAAGACATATATAGAAATACTCACTATTGAATTTGTTGTGCGGAAAAGCATGCCTGATAGATAGAGACCAAGAAGAGGACCACTGATCATACCAAATATGGACAGAGCTGCCTGAAAAAGGAAACATTTCCATGGGCTTGCAGTTCTTATTCTTCAACACTTGAGGGGGGTAGAGAGTAATAACAACAGTGTTTGTGAACTTTACCTGCAAAACGCTTCCCATCGCTGAAGCAACCCCAGCCATGCCAATGCACACAGCTCCAAAGAATACGCCTAAGATTTAATATTAACAATATTTATATTTAAAACTTTTTAATGTAATTATTTATTTATTTGCAAGATGCAAATTGTTGCAAACAATACCAGCTGCCAACATTCTGAAATGTTCTTCTTGAGTCATGTACTTAGAAAAAAGTACATGAAAACAAAACTGAAACTATTATCTTTGGACCCAGTGGTAATCGCAGTGCTTCTCCTGTGGATCTGGGTGCCTTGGAACCATCTGTTAAATTGCGTGTCAGAAACTTGGGTGTGATTTTTGACTCAAACTTCAACTATGAGAAACAGAATAATTCTGTAGTAAAAAAGATCATTTTTAAACTGAGAATTTTATCTAAAATCAAATCATTTTTATCTTTCAAAGACCTTGAATGTGTGATCCATGCTTTTATTACATCTCAGCTGGACTACTGCAACTCTATGCTGGTGTTAGCCAGGCTGGCCTCTCACACCTGCAGCTGGTTCAGAACGCTGCRGCACGCCTTTTAACACGGACGAAGAAGCGTGATCAAATCTCCCCGGTGCCGGCTTCCCTTCATTGGCTCCCTGTTCGTTTTAGAATTGATTTTAAACTTTTACTGATGACCTATAAGGCCCTGAATGGACTGGCTCCTGAATACATGTCTGACCTCCTGCAGTCCTATGTGCTCTCCAGACCTCTTAGATCCAGTGAACATTTGCTYTTGGCTGTCCCGCGCTCCAGACTGGTCCATAGAGGTGACCGAGCCTTTTCAGCTGCCCCTTCACATTAGACAGGCCTCAACTCTTGGGGTTTTTAAATCTCTTCTTAAAACACACCTGTTTTCAAAAACCTTTAATGTAGTATGAGAGTTGTTTTCCCTGTTTATTTGGTCTGTTTTTATGGTTTTATCATTATTTGTGTTCAGTCAGTAACGCTTTGTTTTTAGTTGCAATATGTGAAGCACTTTGGCCAATGGCAGTTGTTTTTAAATGTGCTATATAAATAAAGTTGACTTGACTTAAAGTAATAAAGTATACTCTAGTGACAAAGAATATTGCAGTTTGCATTGAAACTTGACACAGATTCTAAAATGTAAAGCCTTTGATCTGCTAGAAGAAGTAGGTGAAGCTTTTAAGCTGTGGAATTTCTGCCACTGCAAAATCCACACCTATCTTTTAAGCTCTCCAAAAATGTTCTGAGAACTAGTCCTCTCTTGCAACTACAGGTTTTTCTAAGTAATCTGTGTAATGACGTACTGCAAGTTCTAACATTAACCTGTCATTTTGTGAAGAAAGACGCTTGTACTGAAGTTAGATAATGACGTGACATCCACTCGTATCTCATGACCTTAAGGGAGTCTAGAGGATAAAAAAAGTGTCTTACTACTGAGTAAGAAAACCACAGTTTTACACAACTTACTCAAACCCATGTTCATCCAGGTCACCTGCTTGTTTGTGAGGTTTTTGAACAGAGGAAAAATGAAGTCCTCCACAGTGACAGCAACCAGAGCATTAATGCTGGAAGACACAGTGCTGAGAAAACATTCAAAGGTTAGATTTGATTAAAGGTTTGTTTACATTTTGACTGCACTTTTAAATATTTAGTTTATTTAAATTGTAAAATATAATGAAGAAGAGGGCAATTTGCATTCAAATGGTAAAATCTTTTGCAAATATATACATATCCTAGGAGACTTTTTTTTCCCTTTTTTAATGAGAGCAAATCCCAAGTGTTGACAGTTTTTTGCAACYTTCAAATCACATTGTATCTGATTGAAACATTTTCTTGTTGCAACAGTTTCCTAAAATTTATTTTGTTATGTTTATGTCAAGTCTCACCTCAGGGTACCACTGTATGCTGCAGCCACAAACAGACCAGGGATTCCTGGATAATCTGCCAGAATGTCCATCACAAGGTAGGGCAGCATCTGGTTTACAAGTATAAATCAGTTTTACTGCAACTCATAACTCTTAGTCACATAACTAAAAGCATGCAGCTTTGTGCGGGWTGTTGGGGAGGAGCAAACTGCATCTATTACCTGGTCTGAGGTGGTTATATCACCATTTGCAAGTGGGTCACAGTTCTTGTAAATAGAATACATAGTGAGGCCTGAAAAAACAGCCAGGCTCACTGTGACCCACAAACCAACCATGTTCACATACAAAGACCTGCGAGATGAAAGAGGTGACATGTCAGAACAGGAAACTGCTTAGAGCTAGAAAGAATCTATTTGCATTGCATTACAGTATGCTCACATCTTGGCATGGCCTAAAGTTTTGCAGGAGATGTAGCGCTGCACCTGGGACTGATTGATTGAGTAAATAGACACCCACATTATGCTTCCACCAACTACAATGGTCCAGAAAGTGTGTCGCTTCAGRGGATCTGGGTCAAAGCTGTGGTGGAAAGGTCAACAATACCAGAAGGTTAAAATRTTTGAAGGCATCACCAGATCCGTTTTCTTGATTTTATATGCATAWATATGTGTCTCAAAATTTGTTAAAGGGATCCCTGATTAGTTGTAACATTAGACTTTATTTGATAAACATATTTTAACTGTAAAATAAAGACTGTAAAATTCTGTTAAGTTAAGTAAATTTTTAAAAATATATTTTAACACAGACGGAGCCATTTTATTTACACACAAAGCATTCTGGGTAAATGATGACTTGGATAGGTCCTTGGTGTGAGCGAGCTATATCCACCCTGAAGATTAATGTTGGACAATATCTGATGATCGACTTTTTTAAATGAAACCAGAGAGCATTGACAGAGAGGAGAAGGTAGAAACGACTCAGCCTGTAACTGAAAATGTGGATGGAGGACAACAGAGCTGCTTCATGGAAGAAGAACCTCAGCTTAGCCTGTTAGTCTTTGCGCTAGTGCCGACGCTTTATTGCCTTATAAGTATTATCTCAGCGCTAGTGCAACAAACAAGCTAAACTGAGATTCTCAGTTCCAGCTGTCATTTTTGCGTTCCCCTCTCTGTCATGTGGATGGAGGACCTCAGTGATGAGAGGAGAATGTGTAGCGCTGAGCTAATACATATATATGGTGATAGCATCTGGGCTAATGCTAAAGCTAACAGGCTAAGCCGAGGTTCTTCTTCCATGAAGCAGCTCTGTTGTCCTCCATCCACATTTTCAGTTACAGCCTGAGTCGTTTCTACCTTCTCCTCTCGTCCCTGAAGGTTGCACCTTGACCTTTAGGGTCATCCATCAAATTTTGACAGGAGGTATCGTATTATATTTTTTAATGCTCTCTGGTTTCATTTAAAAGAGTCAATTGTCAGATATTGTCCAAGATTAACCTTCAGGATGGATATAGCTCATCCACACGAGGACCTATCCTCATCCTCATTTACCCAGAATGCTTTGTGTGTAAATAAAATGGCTCCGTCCATGTTAAAAT